ATAGTGTATGATGATTTGTGTTTTATTCTATCACTGCACCCAAGGTGCCAAGCAAGATGGCCAAATCCCTGTCCACAATCTGTACTATCCTATAAACTGTCGAATTATGTTTTAATATAATACTCAGTTGTACCAATCTATGCGGGACTTTACAGCAGTCCATGAGCTAATGCTAGCAGAGTCAAAAGCTGTCTGAGCAAAATCCTTTCAAACATTGATCTAGGAATGGGGAATTGGCTCAATATAGAGGTTGCATAATTTTTAATGATTTTAATAGTAATGTAGCAGTTAAAATCCAGATCAGTGTTTGACATCAATAAGTAGGCATGCACAATTAGTTGTTTTTAAAAATAATAGTACTAAATATGAATGAAAAACAACAGAGATAATCAGCTAAACACACTTTCTGCATACTTAATGAGACAGAGGGGCTGAAGGTTTTCAGCTTAAAACTCAAAGGTTTTACATCACAAATCTCAAAAACGACAATGATGGGTTTTATACAATAATTAGCTAGTGCAACAGCAACTTAAAAATTTAAATGCAATGGTCAAAATAATCTGCCTCAGAAGTAGCTGATGCCTTTTAGCACTTTAAATCAATAAATGACTACATTATGCCTGAAATTAAGTTGTTAGTCAAAGTAGGGAAATATGACAGTGAGTGGCAACAACCTTTTAACCTTGCTGTTGCACTAGCTAGTTATTCAGCCTCACCCCCTCATTAAGTATGCAGAAAGTGTGTTTAGCTGATTATTTCTGTAGTTTTTCATTCAAATTTAGTACTTTTACTTTTAATAACAACTAATTGTGCATGCCTACCTATTGATGTCAAACAATGATCTGGATTGTACTGCTACTTTACTATTAAAATTATTAAAGATTATGCAACCTCTGTATTGAGCCAATTCCCCATTCCTGGATCAATGTTTGAAAGAATTTTACTCAGACAGCTTTTGACTTTGCTAGCATTAGCTCATGGACTGCTGTAATGTGCCGCATATATTGGTACAACTGAGTATTATATTAAAACATGATAAAAAAATCCAAAACAAAAAAATGGATTGATATACATGGACAATGTCCTGCTGATCTTGATGTCTTTAATTTGACTACATAGAAAGAAACATAAATAGGGAAAATATAAATTGACCTTACTTGATTGCAACACTTCTCAAATCCCTGAGCTTGGTGATGCATTGAGAGGTGTACTATAGATAGAGGAAACAAAAAGGACAAAGTGAGGGAGCTACAAACGCAAATAGGAGCTCTGTGATTTGCAATTCAAACTAAGTACAATAATGTTAACTGCAATGTTATTCTGTGTTCAGAATGTAATTGTAATGGTAATTACATTATTGGAGACCATCCTCATATACCAGCAACAAACAGTACTTCAATAACTAATTTATGCTGTGATTAGTAGCCAATAGCCAGTGACATATGTGACCATAATTGATGGCAGTTAGTGAAATGTGTCTTTATAGCCTAAAAAAATCCAACTTCCTGAGCTCAATTGATGACAATATTACTCCACAGGATGCAAAAAGTTACTATGTAACTTATAAAAACAACGGTTGTTAAACGGAGCACTCAAAAGTTGATTTTTTTTCATTAAATTGAGAAATTTTAAAATCTGCCATAAGGTACCTTTTGTCAATTATGGTCACATATTTTTACATACTTGTTTAAATCTGAGAACTAAATGTGCCACATACTGAATGTATAGTTATCACAACTTAATGTAATACCACATACAACATGACATCACTGATGCATACTCCATAGAGAAGAGAAGACATAACAGTGAAGTGTAAAATAGCAGAAGAGAGGCTCAAGTGGGAGAGGGAGAGAAAGGGAGAAGGAATATGGGAAAGAGTAAGGTTGAAAAAGGTGTAGCAAATAGAAATATGGTGTAGATTATAGAACAGTGAAGCTAGAATAGACAAGACTCAGGGAGATTACAGAAGGAGGTACAAGTGGGTGAGAAAGTTAGAGATCAATAAATAAGGAGAGAGTATGGGTGTAGTGCATGTAAAGTGTGGGAATGAGAAAGACAAACAAAACAAAATATTGCCAAGAGGTATATGTATGTACATGGTTTCTCGCAGGTTTCATGGCATAGTGCTCAGTATCTTGACAGTAATGTTATCAGTTTTGATAAAATATCCTGTAACATTACATTAAGAGGCTTTGCTCACTATAGCCATGCAATCATCATAAAAATTAGGCTTTTTAACTTTAATAATAGTTAAAATACGACCCAACTGTACTGACACATTTCATCCCTATTATGGGCTTTGCCCAATTATAGTACAAATTTCATCAAAAATGGTTAGAAGAGAATTCACCACTATTACTATTTTTTCTGATACATACACATGTTCTTGTGTTGCATGGAGAGTTTAAGCTAATTCTGATCAATATTACATTTTTTACAAACTTTTAAGTTGCTCAAAATTAAGCCATGCATATACAAGTACATGTACAATGTAGTAATGTACATGTGTCTTTTTTTACAAGCAGTGCTTGTCAACTCATGAAGCATGCTGTTCAGCTCAATGTAGTAATGTACATGTGTCTTTTTTTACAAGCAGTGCTTGTGAACTCATGAAGCATGCTGTTTAGCTCACTTAGCATGCCTTAGAGAAACCATGGATATGTAACATAGAGTAGGCTAGAAACATAAAGGCTGCAATGGGCTTAGGATATTGAGTAATAATTACTGTGAACAATGAATTAATAGATTTGAGTTAAAAGATTGGTTGGTCAATGCTTCTCACGAGTTGATAAAAGAAGGGATTTGAGTTGATTGGTTGCAAAGTACATTGCTAGGACAGAATCTAAAATTTATTCCTATTACTAACTAAAACTGATACCTGTATTATTCAAATGTTGCACACAGTTACATCTAGTGTACAACAGAAATGAGATTTAATATACTTCAATTTACTTTAGGATGGGGATTAATTGCACTGTCTAATTTTAGCGTTTATAAAAGGACCCTAATTTAGTGAAATGTAATATTAGCAAAAATAGTAAGAAAAATTAATGAATAATAACACTACTCCAGAAGCCTGATCTTTACATTTAAGAACCGAACACTGTAAAAGACCACCCTATCAACTACTGTTATCTTGTTATACATCTTTCCTCTCTTGAGTACTGGTTTATACACAGGTACATAATTACTATCATTAGCTGCTGCTTGAATTGGCTTTTTAAGTGCACTCACTAAAAACGCTAAAATTGACTGTCGCAATTCACAGCCAACCTAAGGAATTTAAAGGTTCATCACATTAGGTTGCTGTAAATCTAGTGATATTTTCAGTGTCACTTACTTAAACTGATAACTTAATCAATCTCCCACTTGACAAATATCAAACTTACTGGAAACTGTTAACTCTAATTACAAAATGAGGATTTCTGCACAACAAAAAGGAGCAATGGATTGTGGCTATTTGCAATTGATGATGCTGTTACTTTAAGTATGTGAAAAGACACAAGATTTAGCCAATGTGATAAAAAAGATGCACCATCGCTTGTATAGTTACGGGGTACTTTCATTGATAGAAACCTTTCTCTTTGTTGAATGGCCTTGCCCTTTTATACCAACTAGTCTAACAACTACTACTACTTTTTAAATAATGCAAAGAATTTGCAATCCCCTATTATCAAAAACTATAAGTATGGAGTACCTTCTTGAAAAGAAACAATCTTTTTTGTTGCATGGCCTCGTCCACTTGTACCAACTCCTCTTGCACCACATGCTCCATTTCTGAATTTACAATTCCCTATCATCAAACAACAACAGTAATGGGTATGTTAATTAATTGAAACCGTATTTTTTGTTCTATGGCTTTATCTCCTTGTCTCAACAACTCTTCTACTCATTTCTCCAAGGCAGTGGTTTACAACCGATCGACTTCAATTTTTTGAAAATGAAAAAGAAGTGTAACATTTCTAATGTGCATGCGCACTCCACGTGTTGGGTGTGGCTAGTTTTAAAGGGGTGCTGAATGTATCAGTTGCTGTAAAAAGAGCAAGCTCTTCTATCTTACCTTGGACTGTGTCAAACGTCTGTGACATCTACTGTTTTGGGACTTGTTAGAGCATGCATTCATGTTAAATAAGCCTACTCCCACATAAGTTGCTATAGTATTTCGATAGTTTGGATTAACTAGCAATTATTGAAATTAATTAATGAGTAGTTACTTTTAATATTTATAATATAATTTATTCCGACTGACCTACCTTATTTTAGAGACAAAAATCCGTGAAACAAGTTATTTAGTTTGAGCAACCCTATTATAAAAAATACAATGACGTTACAAAGCAAAACATACCACTAAAAACTGACTGATCAGCATTAAAGTCATGTATTTCTTCACCATCAATTTGTTATAGCAGGATCAATAGTAACTATTATGTGACCTGATATGAGAAAACCAGGCTATCTGTGGGATTTTGGTATAATCAGTTTTTGGTACTTACAGAGCAAAAAATTTCCTTTCCAGTGATATCCCATTTATGACAATGCGCAATAAAACTTTGCAGTTAGGGACGCTGTTTGGACGATTGCTCTGGAATACAAGTACAAAGAAAAAGGCATTTTAAGTTATTTTCAATGTTTCCATGTCACGCCCATTGACGTAGTAAATGTGACCACGCCCACCACGTAAACCTCACCCACATTAATTAATAAACGGGTAAAGAAGAAAGAAGAACTAGACAGCATTTTAACTTACTTTTCTTGCTTTTTGGACATCTTAAGAGTGATCTAAAGCCCAGCTATGCATTGAGACTTCAAGTACAAGTAAGTTATTTCATTACAAAAGTTGTAGAGTTATTGCTGTGTTCTAGTGCCAATAAAGTCTTTTTTGTGAATTGTAATAACATCAACTGGGTCATTTACATCCAGACATCACTTCTGCTTGAGTTTACAGGTAATATTTTTATTTAGATTTTATTTAGAACTATAATTAAGGGTTTCTACATTTAACATTAAAAAAATTGATAGTTTTAGCACTTGATGATGAATCCTATAGAAGATTATTGTTATTCTTAACTTTCATTATGTTCCTTTCCTTACTGTTGGACGAGGGGCTCTTCCTGTTCCTCCTTGGCCTCCCCCTCTACCTCCTTGGCTTCCGCCCATCCCTCCTCTTCCATGTTTTCCACCTTTACCCTACCCTCCTCCTTTGTGTTGTCTTCGCTTTTTCTAAGCAAAGGAAAAATTCTTGTGATTACTCATTTCAATAATGCTCCTTTGATACTTTAAATTTTTTCCCTTGTCTCTCTCTGTCGCAGTCCCAGTCTATTCTCCTGTCCCTGTCTCCTTGCTTGTCTCTGTCTCTTCCCCTGTCTCTGTTTCTTCTCCCATCTCCTCACTACTCCCCGTCCTGTTCCTCCTGCCCTCTTCAATGAGTTCCAACTGCCCTAAATTACAATGGCATAAAGCCTTTACTTTACACTTAAAATTATGTTTACTTCGAAGAGCTGGCCTAAACTGTTCCAAGTCTGTAGTTAAAAAATGTGAATTTAAAGTACAAGTAATTCAACTATTGTTTTATTACCAAGGGCCTTCCTTCTTTCTTCTTGCCTATTTGTTGTAAATAGAACTAGATAAAATAAAATGCAAAATTACTTTTTAGTTTAATAGTCCTTCTCATAGCTGCTTCACAACAAAAATTGTCACACAATTACACATGTAAATTAACTTACTTAAGCTGTTTGATTCTATTAAAAACAATGTCATGTATAGTTGTATGTTTCACCTTTTAATCTTACCATTCTCCTTTCGCTATCTCCACCCTCCTCTTTGTCTCTGTCCCCCTTCTCCTCTGTCAACTCTCCTCTGTCTTCTTTCGTCTCTTTCACCCTTACTTCATCTTTTTCTGCTATAAATACAGTTATTTTTAGCTTTTAATGTACAACACAATCATACATGTACCAACAACTTACCAAGTTCATCTACCAAAAACAATAGGCATTATAGTTATCACTATAGAGTTACACATTCCCAACTGACCATCAGATGGATGGACCTCAATGAGGACATCATCTTTTGTGGCAGCCATTACTTTTTGATTTTTAACTTACAGTTTCAGGTGTCTTATTTTATATTCTAAAGGTCAGAGGTGACACTTGGTGTTTTTTGATTGGCTGTGAATGACGCAACAACTTCTATTTCGGTATTCTCCTCCAACGCTATTTAATTATCAGTCTACTCACATGTACAGATAAACACAAATCACCTGCATGATAACTTCGTGACAAAGTTTCTCTTGGGCCTTCTCTTTTGAGTTAGTAAGTTTTAAACAAATATGAGTTTGTGTTTATGTTGACGTCTCACACACATACTAGGTTCCCCCCTTTGTTTTCAAAAAACAGGATCCATAGTTTGTATGTCTTAGCGTTACAAACGAGTTCCTCTCCTTTAGGGAATCAGTAGTTCAAGTATTTGGCATCCAAACTAGTTCCACTCCTGTTTCAGGGGATCAATAGTTTGAATGTTTGGCATTCAAACTAGTTCCACTCCTGTTTCAGGGGATCAATAGTCTGTTTGTTGTAGACAAACTAGTTCCTCTCCTGTTGAAAGGGGATCAATAGTATGTGCACTACACAAACTCATTTCTGTTATTCATTTACTGATTACATGGACAAGTTCTTCTATTATGACCAAATTGACCTCAATTACCACATTTTCTTTGTGTTGCAGGTGGTTCTAGAAATTGCCTTGGAGAATATGGTACATCAATCTCCATTGTGAGGTCTGGTGGATCATCTACACATGGAGTTGATTGTCGAGATGATCCTGTTAGTGGAGGTGCATCAGGAAGTGGGCAGGTTACATCTTTACATTTGTATCTGCAAAGCGGTCTCATTTTTTCGTAAAGGTGCCGTTTCCTTTCAGTTGACATACCCATTGGTGGTAATATATTAGGTAGTTCATCTTCCATTATTTGTGCGTCCTCCTTCAGCAATTTGAATCGTGTGACTGGGCCATCTACAGTTTGTCTGGCTGCAACTACACCAGGTGAGGTCGCATTTACAACAAAGTGTTGAAAGCCTTTGGTGCCTTTTATTTTCTTGAATAATGTAGCAAAGTAACTAGACCAGTCAAGTGTTTCTACAATGAGTTCACCATTGCTACTTCCTACTGGTTGGGCTTCGTTCACTGCTGATGGTTGTTCTACATCTTGAACAAAGTCATCCAATGAGTCCACCTCTGCTTTATGGAATTTTTGCTTTAATAGTCCAAAGCACCAGTCTGGAGAAAGTTTTGTGTCCAACTGGCAGAAAGAATATTGAAATGGACGCATTGAGTCCTGTCATGACTCTCCATAAGAGATATTAAAACAAATGGAGAATTACATGTAAAATGTTCATTATTGTGCATGTATTATACTTACTTGAATAACTGTATTATTTTTATTTTGCCCTGTGCAGTTATCAGCATTGAATTGGATATTGACTGAGTTGAGGCCATGATTTATCAAATAAAAATGTACCATGCTTGTGACAGGATTTGCCCCTTTACCAGTGTCGAATGATTCATTGATCAAGAAATTAACCTGCTGAGGGATAGCTTCACAGCACACACCAAATATGCCACATTTCCTGGGAGTAAGAAAATAATTTGGACCTGATAGTGAACCTCTAAAAAAGTAATAAGCTACACACACTTTAATAATTATCATAAAATGTTACCTGTTGAGCATAATCGAAGCTATAATGTGCTACAATACTTAACATAGCAAGTGGCCTTGTTAGTGGGGGATTGTAATTGTTTGCTGCATCAGCATACAGCCCTTTTAACAATAATTGTGCCTCTTTTACTACATCTTTATAGTACTCCCTTTCCTTTTTAACAAGACTTCTGTGATTTAGTGCCTTTTTGCATTGCCTGAGAATTCTAAATATAATACTTGTGTTATTACAATACTGACTTACCTCAGTTATCCTTTCATCTGAGTGGCACACAAGTCCGACATAGGCTTCATTTCTTCAATACAAGGCAGGTAGCGTCACCACAACATGTTTCAGCACATGCTTTGACATTAAGCCCTTCACATGATTCCGCATACTCTAAGTATACCTGCCTTTTAGATGTATTGCATGGTAAGAACTTCTTATTCTCGTAACTTTTCATTCCAGGTGTTCTTCTAGGAAGACTGATTCCATGGACTTCAGCGTAATTTCTGATGAAAGCAACAACCCGGAGAATATCATGATAAGTCAAAGCATGGCTTGGTGTCTTTCCAGCATTTCCGTGAACTCTAATAAAGTTAAGTACATAACATTTAATTTTAAAGTCTCATACCTTGGTATTAATCCATTCATTCTGTAGTTTTCCATGATTTCCTCAAACATGCTTTTGCCACATGCTTGTAGCTTCAGAAATGTTACTCTACATATCTATTTGAAAAACATAATTAATTACAAACCTTATGACCTTGATGCATGAACGTAAAAAATTGCCACTTTCTCTCTTTCTATCTCCTGTGGTTGCCGGTCGACAATCACCTTATGGTAGATGTTGCTGCCATTTGACTCATATAGCAATTTCTTGAACAAACTTTGCCATGGCTTTTATGTCACATCTATATGTTTTTATGTAAGAGTGACTGAACAGTGCATAGCAATTATCTGAGCAACCACAGCCATGTTGAAAGAACTTTGATAATTCTTCTTCCTCCTGTAGGTCTTTCTTCCTCACGTCATCACAAGAGTGAGTAGTTAAAGTACCTGGAGCATCAGGCGTTGCTGATTCTAAATCAAGATCTGATAATTGTAGCTCCACAGCCACCTCAGGATCAAACAGTGGTGGATTAATATCTACATTACAATCTTTTGTCTCTTTCTCTTCTTCTTTCCCTTCCTCTACCCCTTCTTCCATATTTTCTACTGCTTTATAATCTGTCTCTATCAATTAACAAATACACTCTATAACTAATTTTTAAAATTATAATATTGTGCATTTATACAGGTGATGGAATGTCATTGTTGTGATAGCTAACCGCTGTTCATAGTTAGTATGTAAACAGTGTTATGAATAAGCTTACCACTAGTTTCATGACAAAAGTAGTCCCCCAGAACTGAAGCAACGTAGTCACTGTCTCGAGGACTATTTCTTCATTTAACAAGCGAGCAATGTCTTTTTGTGTAGCCATAGTTTTAAAAGTAGTCGTCTTCGTCATTGTTATACTTTAAATAGTTGCTATAGAGACTTTATGGGTACCTTTTGACGCATTAAAAGCCCTCCATTTTTATTCAGTGGTCGCTCTGTGTAACATTCTCCGTGCACAATTAAGGTAAAAATGTTGAAGGGCTTATAACTCGGCAAAGAAGGCTTCGCTACCCCTGATATTGGTATCAAATGAAAGGATTTTGTCTATAGAACATGTTTTTGTGATAAAATGAATTTTGCCCTGGTAAAGATTTTTCGTGCTTATGAGACCATTGCTCAAAATGATAATTCCCGCAGATAGCCTGGTTTTCTCAAATCAGGTCACATATAATAAAACTTCAAGTCACCTGCTTCAAAAGTTTTTTAGTACACCTTTGCACTGGCTGTCTTTCAATAGACGAATAAAATGTAAATAAAATAATAAACATGCATGTAATACACATTTTTGTATTATTTTTGTACACAATGAACCCAGTGAGCCAAAATTATACATGCATAACTCAAAGTCAAGCAATACATACATGTAATGTAATATATATGTCCCTTTCTGTCTGGCCTTTTCTGCTCGCAATCTCTGCTTCCTTTGCTTTTGTTATATTGTTTTTTCTTTTAACTGCTGCTTCTCATTGACAATCTTAAGATTTTGAGCACTAGCTAGTACGCAAGACAGCTTAACATTGTTTTGCGCATGAGAATTATTTTTGGGTGTTAATTCATGTTCAAAACCAGCTTTGAGATGGGAACTCGTCTGTTTAGGCATCATAACATAGTTATCTGAATCATCTCCATCAGAGTCAAGACTTTACGTACCAAAGCCTTCCTTCTATTTCTTATTTGTAGATAATTTAACTGATTCTTCCACAAAGCTATCATTATCAGAAGTACAGGCACATGCCTTCATTGGATATCGTGAATGGCTTATCATAGGATTATATGTGACCAAGCAGGTGAAAATGGTGCAGTTGGCGACATCGGTTGCTATTAACATAAGTGACCATAAACATGTTACTGTGACATTCCATCAAAATTTTTTACATAAATTGAAAACATCAGGGTATAATACTACTATCAAAACAATAAAACAATGATAACAATTGCTTTCTACACTTTTATAGTTGCTTATCTAAAAGGCAAACTATGCCTCCAGTTGGTCCATTTTTGCCTGCTAGGTCACAAATTGTATTTTTTTAACTATTCATTTTGATATAATAAATTAAAGCAATGTAGGAGATAAATACTAGGAACACAAAATCCTGCAGTTATATTTTTAATTGTCATGGAGAGCCTCCAGGCTTGAACAAATTATTTTTATAAAGAGTAACGTGTAACATCGCAATATTGCAGAGATGTTGAAAGAAATATTCAAAGAGTGGTACTTGTAAAAAAGGAACCTGCATTCCAAACTGAAGTGTTCTGATCAACAGTATCCATGACGTTTTGTCTCCACTGAGGCCTTATAGGAATATGCTGTACACCTGGAGATAAGGTGTAATGAAAAATGATGCAAAGTTTATTGTGTTAGTGAAGGACAAAACATTGAGTCACATTGTCTTAACTTTAAAGAAGTCTCGAAAAAACTCAAATTCTGTTCAATGAGAGCAATAAGTGTCCCATTGCCAGTGAGAGGAAGGTTAAGCTGTAAAATAGAACCAATCAAGTATGATTGATTTTTTTACCTAATTTTAGTGAATTTTTTCCATCAGAAGATTGAAAGTAAGAAACTACTATTTCTGGTTACAGTAAATCTGAGGTACATCATTTTCTGAGGTATGCAAGTCAGTACTACTACTACATTGGCAACAAAAATGCATATTGAATTTCTTACAAAGAGTGGTATTAAATGAGATCGGGCTGTTGATTTGTCAATACCCAGGGACATTTACACAATTACCATACTGAATTTTTACTTTCTTCACAGAATGCAACTTTGTCAGATATTATCATATTGAGAATGTGTCAAAACTATGTAAGCTACCTCATTACCAACAGATTCAGTCATCACTCAATGTGAATGCTTCCATTTGACAAATGTAATGCAGCTAGAAAGACATCATGGCTATATTCTTCTTCCTCCACAAAAAAATTGTGCTCTGGTGTATTTCACAAAAAAACTATCATATGAGATGTTCAGTCATCGCAACATTATAGTCCATGCAGCTATTGCTGCATGATCTCTACAGCTAGTGCAGCTGTGTTGGCAGCTTGATATCATAAGATTTTGCATGGAGTACTTTTGTTTGTGTACTTCACAAATTTTGTAAATTGAGCTCAATTCACCACTTATGCATGCAGTATTGCATTACTGAGCCCTATTTTAGTACTTTACAATTGTAATGCTATAGTATCTAGCTATAATTTTTGTAAATGCCAAAGTAACAAGAATCAAAACTAAAATGAGTTGTCAGAATAATGAATTAAAACTCAAAACATTGGCTCCTGCTCAAAATTAACACAAATAAGTCAAATAACATTATTTTGATGCGACACATTCTCCAATTCTGTCCGTCTGCTCCAGCTTTCTTGAACTACACATAGCTAGATACAGATCTATATCCGCATTCTTTCGTGGCATCTCCCACTTTTGTCCGTCAACTTTTGCTCCCGCTCCGTCTCCCACTTTTATCTGGTCCCGTTGGCATGTTATGGATGTTTTCAAACTTAACCCTTCCCACTTTTTGATTGGTGTCTCAATCCCCGAATATGAGTACTCTAGCAATCACTACTTTTCATGTTTGCAATATTGGGATTTCAACCACTTAATTAAGAGCTAGACAACTCCCATCCCCTGATCAAAATGGTCATGCATGAGTGATTGGAGTACAGTTGGTCCTAAGTTAAAACTTAACTGCATCTGTTAAGTTTGTTTTATGTAATATTTAATGGTGCATTTTTATTAATACATACAGACATGACTCATAGTCGCCCTCATAAAGATCGGGTCAAAAGGAACTCTGTCACTTATCCAGCAGTTTGTAGAAATCCTTGAAGACCTTCAAAGTATAAAAGTTATGATGCTGAGAAACTTTTTTCTGCATATGAAGATGTTGTTTATAAAGGTGTTAGCATACAAAGGGCTGCTGAGCAATACAGTGTTCTATTTACAACATTAGCAGATAGAATGTTGGGTCGGACACAGTTTAGTAAAAGGAGAGGTCCAGTGCGATACTTGTCAGATGAGGAAGAAGATGAACTGGTTTTATTAGTTGTTGGTTATTCTGAAATAGGATATGGCTATACAAGAGATATAATAGATATGGTACAAAATGTTGTTGTCTGGAAAGGCTTAGATGGAACAGTTAGTAATGGGTGGTTGGATGGATTAAGAAAGCAGCATCCTGCAATTGTTTTACGATAGCCGGAACCAATGTCACATATTAGAGTTTGCAATGATCAACCTGGAGTTCTTACTAGATATTTTCAAAAATTAGAGACAATATTGATCAACAACAATTTAATGGATTGTCCATCATTAATATTCAATATGGATGAATCAGCTTTTCTTCTTGATCCAAAATCACCTCATCTTGTATGCAGAAGAGGCCAGCATCACCAATGATTAATTTCTGCAGGGAAGAAAGGCCAAATCACAGTCTTAGCTTACTGTGGTGTTTCTGGCCATGTTATACCTCAACTAGTTACTTTTAACAGCAAAGTTTTGAAGCCGGAGCTTACCATAGGAGGTATCAGAAACAATGTATGGGTTAACATTGTCTGGGTGGATTGATAGTGAAACCTTTGATGTGTGGTTTCAGAATCACTTTTTAGCATATGCTCCAGCATCAAGACCCTTACTTTTGATTTTGGATGGGCATTCATCTCACTTTAACCCTGATACAATTCAAAAAGCAGCAAGCGAGAAGGTTATTATATTTTGTTTGCCCCCACACACAACCCATAAGACTCAACATTTAGATAAAGGTTGTTTTGCCCCCTTGAAGTCATTTTGGAGACAACAATGCCACAAATACTTATCTGAGAAGAGAGAAAAAGTTATAACTCGATTTCAGTTTTTCGAGATATTTGGAAAGGCATGGCCAAAGGGATGACTGCAAAGAATGTGATGGCTGGATTTAAAACAACAGGTATTTACCCTTTTAATCCTGCTGCATTGATTCCAGATCCTCCAGCTGCTACTTCATCTCTATGTGAAAGAACAGCGATCAAGTATATTCCTTTTCACAGTCGCCGATGTTCTCATTTTCGATCATTACTGGATGAACCTCAGCCAAATTCTAGATCAGAAGTAGAATCAGACCCAGTAATATCTCATTTAACTCATCTACATGTATTGCTGAGCAACGAGCTGATAT